AAAAGGGCTAAAATTAACTTAAGAAACTACATGTAACTAGATATAGGTGAGGATGCAGAGAAAGGGGAACCCTCTTGCACTGTTGGTGGGAATGCACACTGGTGCAGCCACTCTGGAAAACAGTGTGGAGGTTCCTCAAAAAATTAAAAATAGAACTACCCTATGACCCAGCAATTGCACTACTAGGTATTTAGCCAAAGGATAAAAAATGTTTATTCGAAGGGGCACATGTCCCCCAATGTTTATGGCAGCACTAGCAACAGTAGCCAAATTATGGAAAGATCCCAAATGTCCATTGACTGATGAATGGATAAATAAAGAAGATGTGGTACACACACACACACACACACACACACACACACACACCCACCATAGAATATTACTTGGCGATCAAAAAGAATGAAATCTTGCCATTTACAACAATGCAGATAGGACTAGAATGTATTATGCTAAGAGAAATGAGTCAGTCAGAGAAAGACAAATACCATATGATTTCACTCATGTGTGGAATTTAAGAAAGAAAATAGAAGAACATATGGGAAGGGAAGGAAAAATAAGATAAAAACAGAGAGGGAGGCAAACCATAAGAGACTCTTAAATACAGAGAACAAACTGAAGGTTGCTGGAGGGGAGGTGGGTGGGGGGATGGGCTGAGTGGGTGATGGGTATTAAGGAGGGCACTTGTTAGGATAAGCTCTGGGTGTTATATGTAAATGATGAATCATTAAATTCTACTCCTGAAACCATTATACACAATATGGTAACTAACTTGGATCTAAATTAAAAAAAAAAAAAAGAGAGAGAATAACTTTGAGATTGAAAAGGCCTAAATATTAGAGGGGAGGAGATCCAAAGAGCATCTAACTTTTCAAAACAAGAGCAAGACCCTTCACCTGAGCTGTTGGCTCTGGGCTTCCTTACCTTGGATGGTCCCATTCAAAATCATCCATGCTTGAGGACCTGGCCAGGTCAGTGTAGCAGGTGAACTCAGGATTTCTTTGATGTTTCAATTTTTATTTTAAAAAGCTGTTGTTAAAAAATGTAAGAACTTGTGGGGCGCCTGGGTGGCTTAGTCAGTTGAGCGTCCGACTTTCGCTTAGGTCATGATCTCGCGGTTCGTGGATTCGGGCCCCGCGTCGGGCTCTGTGCTGGCTGCCAGCTCAGAGCCTGGAGCCTGTTTCGGAGTCTGTGTCTCCCTCTCTCTCTGACCCTCCCCTGCTCACTCTGTGAGCTCTAGAGAGCTCTCTCTCTCCTAGAAATAAATAAAAATATAGAAAAAAAATGTAAGAACTTGCAATTAATGGTTTTGTAAAAAGCTTTTTATTCAATGATGCAAATTAAGGAGATTGAGGAAATCATCTCAGGAAATCATCTCAGGGAGACTTGAATTTAGATTGCTGAAAATTGGTTCATGCAGACTGCTCGAGAAACAGTGTCCTGTAAGAAGTATGCTATTGTACACAATTGAGTTTTTAGGCCTAACAGGTCATTTTTTTTAATGCTTATTTATTTTGGAGTGAGAGAGAGAGATAGAGAGAGCGCGAGAGAGAGCATAGGAGGGGCAGAGAGAAAGGGAGAAAGAGGGGCCAAAGCTGACATCAAAGAGCCAATGTGGGGTTCAAACTCATGAACTGTCAGGTCATGACCTGAGCTGAAGTCGGATAATGATAATAATACCTCAGGAAAGTAAGAATGGAAGAATGTTAGGAGGAGAATAACTTTTAATTTAGACAGCCATGGGCTATTTTATTTAAGTAAGTAACAAATTACTTCTGTAATTTGAAATTCGATTTGTAAATACATTAAAGAAATACTTTGAATCGGATGTCAAGAGTAAGAAGAAACAAGGAAAACTATCATGGTGATTTCACATTCTATTCAATAATAGAAAACTACATTGTAAAGTGATGTGCTGTCAGATAGAAGCCTCCTCTCGTGAATCTTGGGAGAATTAAATAACATGCCATGTTGATCCAATGGCCATGAGTCCTCTCCCAAGGGCGCATGCTCCCAGGGCACTCAGCTCACTTTGGGAAGTCAAGGGCCAGCTCAATCCAGATCACCCTTCACTTTCCAAAAGCTGAACTTCAAGCTTCACTGGCACCTAATGTCATGTTCCGCCTCTGTTTCTTCACAAAATCTATGACCCTGATCCTCTTCAAAAAGAAAGTCACTTCATGCCTGTCTGGCAAATTCTTAGCATCTTGGTTAAGAATGTGGACCCTGCAGTTGGATGCCTGAGTTCAAACCCCTGCTCTGTCACGTGTCTGCTGCTTAATTTGGCAAATTGCTTAATCTCTTTGTGCCTCGTGAAATAAGGATAATACTAGTATCTACACACAGGGTCATGGAGCCAGTTAAAACATACATAATAAAAAAGCTTGCTGTGTCTGCCACATGGTGTTATATTGCTTGCAATTATTATCACTCATCTCTCCAGATTCCTCTAGGACACAGCTATTAGACCATACCCCTCACTTATTTATTTAATTGTCTCCTACCCATCACTCTTGGGCTTTGAGCAACTTGAGGGGAGGAATAAAGCTCCTTCATCTTTGAGTGGCCAGGATTTGGCACGGCACCTAGCACGAAATGGAGGCTAAATTGATGTTGGAGAAATGGAAGGGACGATGGGTGGATAAAGCCATTCTTTAGATACTTCCTGCTTTAAGCTGTTTCCAAACACCCCGGCAAGCCTCAGAGTTTGTGTTTGCATTTTGGTGACCTGTTAGTGCTTACATCTTATTGGTGTGTGTCTTCTAATTGATCTCTCTTTATATCAGTTATGTTCCAACTTAAATTATGTACTTCTTGGTTCATGGTGTGTATTTACCTTCTTTGGTACCTCTTTGAGTTCCCCAATAGAAATGTCCAGGCCTGACTGTATTTTGCCAAATGAGATGAGAGAATCTTGGAGGGAAGAAGTATGAAGGGGCTTTCTCTTGGGGTATCCTAAAGATGGTGACCAGAATTCCAAGGGGTATTTTCAGATTCCACAATATAGTATGAGAAAAGGAACCAATCCCTGAAATGAAGAACCTTCAGTGACCTCTACCCAAGTCCACATTTCAATTTCATTTCATTTCATTTCATTAACTCCTCCCCTTTAATGGTGCACTGAAGTGAAAACCATCCAGAAAGGTAGGACGTAAAAGGGTCGCATTCAAGGGACTGTGGTAGGCAGAATTCCGTTTCAAAGAATGGCCCTTTACTCTTACAGGGAATTCTTTTGGTGAAACAAGAAGCTTGGGGTAAGCCAATAAGGTGAAAATACACACCATCCTCCTCCCATTTAAAGACAAAATCTTCTATTATATATTAAGAGAGCTCAGATGAAGTGTCTCCTGTTCTTTAGGTTTGGGGTGGAGAAAGGTTTGGACAAATCTATTTCCGTTTCCTAGTGCACAGAAACTAGATGTAATATCAATCTTTTAGAAATAAGCATGATGTCTCCTCCAACATTCGTCATTGTTTCTGACTAGTCTACTTGATCTGTGAAAATGAGATTACTTGAAAACCTGTCCTACGTTATAAAACTGAACAAGATATATTGATTATACAAATATTTTCATGTCAGTATATATCTTAATAAAATAACATTCACGTCTGGAGCGCACGTCAGTCTGGAAAGCCTGCCCAAAGCCAGATCTATTTATTTAAATCAGGGAAGGCAAAAGGCCATGCTGGCAGCCATTTGGCTCGTCATGCTCTCATGGCTGAACACAGATAATAATAATTTGGGGTGCACACGGGCAGATTTCTCAAAGGAGGAAATTAACCCCTATGTTTACATTATGAGTCAGCGGGGAACTATCTCAGATGTTGAGACCAATGGCACGCATAGCCAATTTTTTTTCTCTCTTTTTAGATTTTGAGCCCATGTGGAGATCCTACTGGAATTCTAGATTCAGATTCTAATTTCTGGGAATTCCAGTTTCTAATGAAGTGATGAAAGCGCTGGGTTCTCGGGGTCGCCATTTACGAAGTACATTCCTACACGACGCAGTTGATAATTCCCCGGTGAGGGAGAGACTTGCACAGCCTGCCCTTCTTGGATGGTTGGTCCATGGGCTGGGCGCCAGAGTGGGGGTGGGGGTTGTGGAGGGAACTTGATGGCCACCTTTGTGGGTGAGTCTAATAGTCCCATGGACAGGAGATGGGCTATCCTTATGGCACATCCTTTTCTCCATGGCAAAACAGCCCAGAACCAGAAGCTGCCTTGAGGTTCACCGGAGGATAACCAAGACAGAAGACTTACATGCCCCTCAAGAAAAGTGTTGTTTGTTTCACACTGGGAATTCTCTTAGACCATGCATTCTGGGACACTCCAGTTTTGTTGTCAGCTCAATCCCAGAGGAAATGTCTCCTTTTGGGCATTGGGAGTCAGTTATTAAATCGTCAACTTATTTTCATTGGGAGAAATTTATTTTATTTTCCTCAAGGACAACTTCATGTGTCTTGTAATTATACACACTAACTGCTATGGACTGAATGTTTATGTATACCCCTCCCCCCTTCATATGTTGAAGCCCTAACCCCCAAGGTGATGGTATTTGGAGGCGGGGCCTTTGGAAAGTAGTTAGGTTCGGATGAGATCATGAAGATGAAGCCCCTATGATGGGACTAGTGCCCTTATATGGAGTTATAAGGAGAGGAACAGACTAGAATCACCTGCCCCCGCCATCCCCTTTCTGCCCTCCCCCCACCTCCACTTGCCCCTGGCGCCCAGTAAGGACACACCTGGGCGGCTCTGTCTGCAAGCCAGGAAGTGGCTCTCGTTAGACACTGAATCTGCTGGCACCTTAATCTTGGACTTCTCCATCTCCAGAATTTGGGCAGATAAATGTCTTTCGTAACACCTTCCAGTCTATGGTATTTTGTTATAGCAGGCTGGACTGGCAACAAGACACTAACAATAAATAGAGAACGATTTCATTTACCTTTTGCAGCGCTAACAAGTTTTGATATATATTAAAAAATTACTTTTTATTGACATTAGTATTAATGGGACCAAGGGTGTTAGCTGAGTTATCTCAAACCTTCAGTGACTCTTGCGATACTCTACTCCTGTGGAAAAAACCTCAATTAATCAAATTTGATAAAAATGAGTACTGGGTCCATAAAACCAGTACAGTTAGAGACTAAAGACTAGAACTGACATCACCAAAATGACTGTGTAGTTTAAAAAACGACTGTGTCGTTTAAGCATGATCTCTCCGAGAGCATTGTTTAAATACAGTAAGTCAGGCGGAGAAGGACAGATACCATATGTTTGCACGTATAGGAGGATTAGGAGGAACTTAAATACAACTATGTTTAATTGGCAGGAAGGAGCGACATATTGGGCAGTGACTCCCCCGTTATGTAGAGATTAGTTTATCAGTTTCCTACCAGAAAGTGGAGCCCAATGGCACATGGCAGATAAGGTTTGAGGGCAAGGGTGTTTGAGGAAAGGTCAGAAGCCTGGGGAAGGCAGCAGAGGACATGGTACCTGAGGAAGAGAGCAGGGCCTCCGGGCCCTCCCCTTGCTAGGCAGAGGAGACAGGAGGCACCGGTGAGAAGGCAGAGGGTCAGCTTTGGGTCAAGTTTGCCTCCTCCCCAGTTCTTCCTGCTTCTCATCTGGGCATATGAGTTCAGGAAAGCCATCCCATAGTCTGATTCGACGTCTATGTAGAGATGCAGTCAGAGTCTAATCCCTTGGCTTGAGCTATAATAAAAATCATAATTTGGTTTGTAAATCACTCTGGATAGCATAGTGTGGGATTAATGTCTGGTAATAATTTGCCCGGGAGTCTCATATGCTCTCTTAAAGACTGCAGTCAGTTTGACCTTCCTTTTTGACTTACCTCATTTGCATTGTATTTCATAATGCACAGTTGCTTGTGAACAGAATTACTTTGCAAAGCATATTTTAAAGAAGGATGTGTTCAAACTAAGTTGTTTGCAGATATGCAGCCTTCTCAAACATCTATTGGATTGGCGTCTAACAGAATAAATACAGCAAATGTGTCATTATTGCTTGTAATGGCATTTTTTTTCTTTTAGAGAGAGGGAAAGAGAATAAGTGAGAGCAGGGAAGAGGCAGAGAGAGAGAGAGAGCACGCATCCCAAGCAGGCTCCACACTCAGCATGGAGTCTAACATGGGGCTCCATCCCCCGACCCTGAGATCATGACCTGAGCTGAAATCAAAAGTCAGTCACTCAGCCGACTGGGCCACCCAGGCACCTCTGTAATGGCAATTTCAAAACATGAAAACTGCGGCGCCTGGGTGGCTCAGTCAAATGAGCCTCAGACTTCAGCTCAGGCCATGATCTCTTGATTCGTGAGCTCAAGCCCCACATTGGGCTTGCTGCTGTCAGCTCAGAGCCCACTCTCTGTCCCTCCCCTGCTTGTGCTCTCTCTCAAACATAAATAAACACTAAACAAAACAAAAACAATGAATATCATTTACAGTATACAGAACCAACAGCCTGTGAATTAAAAGAGTTTAGGCAAAACTCTCTTCCCTTTGAAAACAAAAAGCCACCTTTGAAAACAAAGAAAAAAAAAAGGAAAAGTGGTTTGTCTACCTATTATCAACTGTAAGTATTAAACTTGGCTCAAAATGTATTGTCTTAATCTGCTTGCTTGGCCATAACAAAATACCATAGACGGAGCGGCTTACCCAACACTTAACTCTCACAGTGCTGGAAACTAGGAGCCCTGTATTAAGCTGCTGGTTTACTTTGAGCCCTGTATTCTTGGCTTGTAGGTGGCTGCCTTTCAGCCATGTACTCACGTGACCCACTCTTTGTGCAGGCAAGGGGGAGCCCTTGTGTTCTTCCTCTCTTTCCACCTGCCGCCTGGGCCCCACCCTTCCGACCTCATTTAACCTTTGTCAGCTCATAAGCCTTATCTTCAGAGACAGTCACAGTGGCAATTAGGCCTTCAACATGTGAATTTTGGTGAGGACACCCACATTCAGTCCATAACAGGCATCCTGATTAAGTGTGCCGTTCGTTCTACGTGTTTATGTGAGTTAAAATATAATTATTGCCTTTGCACTATGTGTTTCAATATAGCTATCAGACTTGACACTGGTCAATAAGTAATGAACAGAATGAATGGATGTTATGCTTAAATTTTGTTCATTATATTGTGTATAGAATATGCCACAATCAGGGAAGAATAAAAATATAATGGAAAGAGTAGAAAAATACAAGTAATGGCTCTTGATTGGAATCTGTCTAGTTGAAGCCCAACAGCGATGTTACCACCGTAGTTTACAATAATAATCATGATGATCATAGCACGGGTTTGCAACACATTTTGACCTACCTGACCTCATTTATGCGGGAATTCCAGAGACTCTTCCTGAATGGCCGTGTCTCTTCAACAGCTGAATGACTCTGGCTCGGTGGGGCAGTATCCCTGGGGATGCAGGGAGTGTCCCTGCTGGAGAAACCCTGCCACCACCCAGGACGCAGCAAGCCAGAGGAGCCCCCTGGCAGAAGGGAAAGAAAGACTGAACTCTGGATTCTTCTCCTCCTCCAGAGATAAGGAGACGAGGAAGAGCACTTGCCCCATCCAGGTTCTAGAACCATCAATAAGGGCGCCTGGGTGGCTCAGTTGGTTAAGCGTCCGACTTCGGCTCAGGTCATGATCTCACGGTTCCTGAGTTCAAGCCCCGCATCGGGCTCTGTGCTGACAGCTCAGAGCCTGGAGCTGCTTCCGTTTCTGTGTCTCCCTCTCTCTCTCTGCTCCTCCCCTGCCCATGCTCTCTCTTTCTCTCAGAAATAAATAAATTAAAAAAATTTTATAACCATCAATAAAATGCAGTTACCAGACTTCATAACAATACAACTAGCACCGCGGGGGGCCTTGGCACAGCCTTGAGCAGGATCAGCTGGGCCATCCCAGGCCTGCAACTCCTGTCAGTGAAAGGATGTGGACGGCTGGGTTGTCACCTGTGGTCGCCAATTTTCATTTGGGGGCTCTTGCTAGCTAGCCCTGTGGTTTAGGATTTGAATAGACTGGCCTTGCTCTGGTGCAGAAAGGCCTGACAAAAGGCCAAGCTTACCTCTGGAACTCATGCTCGCTAGACTGTCCCCCCGCTGTGAGGACGGGAGATACTTGTGCCGTGTAGTAGCCCTAGTGACTAGCTCAGTGCCTGGCACATAATACGTGCTCAACGAGTATGTGTTCAACAAGGATTCCCACTTCACAGTTCTGAGCCTGCAGTGGGTAACCAGCGTCAAGTTCAGGAGAAAATCCACCCCTTGTCAACATTATTCAAAACAAGCGAAAAAGAGGACACAATAAAGAAGTCCATGGAAAGAAAGCAGCTTGGGTAAAATGCTGTCTGATTCTCCTTGCCCGTGTCTAGGCTCACTGTGTTTAAGTGAAAGGTTCCAAACTCCATGTCAAAACATTTACATATGCCTTTCTAATTGAAAGCCTAGGGTTGTGGCAAGGCCTTAGCATGCTTTGAGCACCTTTTGATTGCCACAAATTCTAGGTTTGTCCGTGACATTGTTTTGACGGAGATGTTGTGGCCGGAGCCGTGGTCTGCCCATCAAACGGCTTAGCCTCTGCTTCCTGGCTAGGTTTCTGGCTCAGGTGACCTCACCACATAATCCCAGTAAGCTCTGGCCAGGGCAACTCTGGGCAAGATTTAAAGCACTGGTGACCGAGAGGATAGGCCTGGCACTGGTTTGGGCTTGCCCGTCAGGCGATCATATGACATCTGTGTACCTAATGGTCAGACATGCCAGGCTCTCTGGAGACCCAGATGCCCCGTGTGTGTTATGATATCTGCACTGATCCCTTTCTAAGAGTCACTTGAGGTTTAGACGGAGAAATGCATTCGTGGCCGGTTATCAGTTGGGGAGGCACCGACATTCCACAGTCAGTTGAGTTAATCCCTTGCGGAGGTCCCAGAGATATTTCCACTGCTGTTGTCTTCTTTTCCAAACTGGTCATCTGAATATGATAAATGTGAGTTTTACTGCTAAGATTAGCTATGCCCTGAGCCCTAGCTTTGTGAGGCTGGGTGGTTTTGAACACGGACATCAAACAAGGCAAGGCGCGGCTGTGCCACCTGAGATGTGACGATCTTGGGGGGGTGGGGAGGACACAGAAGCTCCCTTTGAACAGCGAACCTGGCTGTGTTTACAAAGCCTACCTTAGATGGTGAGGGCAAACCTGTGCTTTCAGAGAGCATGAGAACGTGCCCTTGAAGTCTCTGACAGCTTCCGGACTGTACAGGTTTGTGTCTTGTAGCGCCTCTTCTCACAGGCAGAATGAGCCTGATCCCCAGGGTTAGGGGGAGCTTCTGGGTAGCACTGTGGGTACTCTGTGCCCCTCTGTGAGGCCGGGGCCCAGAGGGATGCGTGTTTGTCCGGCCAGTGCCCTCACTTGGCACTGGGTCACTGGGCCAAGCCATGCGGGGTCAGTCTTAATCTCAGTCATTCGGACGGAGACAGTTAGCTGTGTCTTGCACACATGCACTGGGTTTAGGATCTTGGAGGAGCCCAGGCCAGACACCAAACACATCCTGTGACTTCCTCACCGGTGGACAAGAGGGGTACGGAGAGACTAGGTGCCCTCTAGCATAAGAGAAAAGAAACATGGACTTTTAGGAACTTTTGGAACTTCCAAAGTTCTAGTGTAGAGCTTCACGTTGTACTGTTGGTTTTTGTCAGGTCAGCGGATGCTTGGTCCGTGCTGGCCACCGTCCCTGGGTGCTGAGGCCACCGAAGTGATGAGGACAGGTTCCCTGACGGCAGGAGCTCGCCACTTTGTGAAGGATGTGGATAAGCAAACACAAGTCAATGCTGGTAGAAGCCTGAGGTGAATACCACATAAACAAGGAGAGAGAAAGGGGAACGGAGTGGGCAGACATACTGCGGGGGTAGGGAGTGTTCAAGAAAATGTGACAGGAAGAAACATTTGAGCTGGGCTTTGAAGAAGTGGACGCTTGGCAGGCTGATGGGTTTGGTGGGGGAAGTGTTCGAAGTAGAAACACAGCGTGAGCCTGTGGCAGTGGGGGTCATGGCTCATCCCTGAGCCCCCCAGGGCCCGGCACACAGGAGGGTGCCTACAGTGCCCCGGGGATTGGCCATCACATGGGAGACCCTTTGGTTTCCCCAAGAAGAGAGGGTGAGGTCCAGGAAAGAGTCCCTGCTGGAAGCTGGAGCTGGGCTGCATAGTTATAGCTCAGGAGTTGTGGTTTTATAGTGTTGGTCTTAGGGAGCGATTGAAGGCTCTGCATTTCATTTTATTTTAAAAGTTTGTTTGTCTGTTTGTTTATTTAGAATCCCAAACGGGCTCCATGCTCACAGCAGAGAGAGATCCCAAAGCAGGGCTTGAACTCACGAACCGCAAGATCATGACTCGAGCCAAAGTTGGATGCTGAACCGAGTGAACCACCCAGGCCCCCTTCCAGTGCGCATTTTAGAAAGATCTGCCTAAGGCCTCGTGTACAGTGGGTGGGAAGAGGCTACAGTGAACAGTCCGAGGAAGGGCAGGACTGACTCTTTTCCCACGTTAGCAGTGGATTTGGCCTGGATTTGGGCAATTTGGCTCCTCCGTAGCTCCATTGCATCCAGGGTGTGTGTGGTGGTCCTGGGAGGCTGCTTTCTGGGGCCTCTCTGTTCCTGGAGAAGCAGCAGGGGCGCTGGGTAGAGGTGGTGCCTCTTGGTGGAAGGAGGCTGGGACTGGAGAAGAAGGAAAATGCAAAGAAAGCCACGTGGCATCTTTGGGGACTAGCTCCTGAGCCCATGGAACAGTGCTCTGAGGGCTCCAGAAAACCATTAGTATTTGCGAAAAGTATGGTTGTACAGTAGCAAGTGGAGTTGAGTAAAAGAGAGTGAGAAAAAATTTAATTTTTGTGTAGCTTTACTTTCAAAGAAACAAACTGAAGATCACACATTATATTTGGTTTTGTATCTTAACTCTGTTCCCTGAGCATTATTTCAAAAGCATCTGCTTATTCCCTTAAATGTATTGTTATTTCTTGCTGAATTCCAAGGAATTCTTTATGCTCAGGAATAATGCTTAATAGCTCCTAACACAATCCACAGAAGGCACCTCCATGCAAATAAATTAAAGTATTTTACTCAGGTCAATTTAAAAAGTAAAAAAAAGAGTTGGGAAGATAAATTATTTGGCTCTGCAGTGGCATGTCGGACCAAGTATAATATAGCAAAATATCGGTCTTACAAAGAAAAAAGTCAAAGGAAAAGATTATGCTCAAAATTGCTCCTGGCTGACTGGCCTTCTGGTTATTAATTCAAATGTCCCTCCTATTGGTGCTGTTAATGGCTTCAAACAGATCTTGTCTCCTTTTATGCAAGGGGAAAATTGGACCCATTCCAAACAAAATAGCAGTAGCAGGAGGAAGCCAACATTTGCAGCATTGTTAGATAACTCTAACTATTAATTTTCTTCAACCAAGTCGCTTTTCATTTTTCACATATCTTTCTTACACTGCCTAAATCTACAAGTTAGACATTCCTAGTGCATAAAAAAGTCTAAATAATAATAAAAAAAAGAGAATTTTCCCATTTGGTTAGCTTCCTGTCTCCCTTCCTGGGCTATTTCACCAATGCCAGGTAGTGACACAATAGTAGAAACCTCAGATGTGTGTTTTTTGGTTCTCAACTAGAGATGGGGGATACAGAATGGGAGGGAGGGTAAAATTTTGGGGGACAGAGGAGGAGAGGAGAGCTAGGCAGAAATAATTTGAAAATGAACCTCACATGATGCTGACATGCCCTCAGGTTGAAAATCACTTAGACTTGTTGATTCT